AGTTTCTCCCTTGCCATTTTTAGAATATTGTTTGTCTTTGATTTTTACCAATGTGGCTATAATGTGTCAAGGGGAGAATCTTTTTATATTTATATTTATTATATTTGGAATCCTTTTTTTCCCTTGGGCCTGAGTTCCTCCATCTTTCTCTATATTCAGAAAATTTTCAAATAATATTTCATGAAAGAGGTATTCCACACCTTTAGTCACCTATTAACTTTCTGGAATATTACTATATTGATATATAGATATTTCATGGCATTTAGAATTTTTTATGTGTTTCCAGAAGAACAATATTTCAAGCATACTCAAGTCAGAAATCTGAGTTATGTGAGACTTGGTGATGAGATGGGCAAGCAGGCAGAAAGACAAAAACAAAACAAAACAAAACTCTTTTGAATAGAGGACCATAAATCTCAGGACGCCAAACATGAATATAAAGACCTGGAAGGAAATGGATCAACAGATGGCATAGCAATTATGTTGCTGGGATTCCCTCATTACTGACAACAGTGTCAGTAATAAAGACTAGTGGCTTGAAATTCAGACAATGTGTGTGTGCATGCATGTCCAATATCATAGGAGAAAAATGAAGGAGGGAGTGTGGTGTGGCCATTCCCCACTAGAGATGAGTTCTCACTTTGCCTATCACTGTCAATCTCTCTCGGTGTCTCTTTCTGACAAGCACAGGTACCCAAAGGCAAAAACCTCTTAAAACAACAACAACAACAACAAAGACACATAAGGATTCTGAAAATGCTGCACATTCCTTAATAGTCACCTACACTGTTAATACTGATAACCATTGTGTATTAAGACATCAAAGTTCACTGATTTAAACAATGACTTTTTATTAGTTCTCTAAAGCTAAAGAACTCTTTTTGTTTTAATTTTTTAATTTGAAGTCTCTATTTTCCCAGTGTAATATTTCTACATAATGTAAATTGAAAATCACATAATTTACTTTGTATAACTTAACATTTTAAATGTTAAACCAAGAAATGTTATCAAGTAGTAAGACATTCTCCACATAGAGATTATGATCTGAAGTTTTTCCATTATTTTTCCCCTGGAGTGTGAAATAGATTTCATGTAGGAAAGTTAAAATATGTTAATATTTTTAAATTAAAAGTTTAATATTACCATAACTCAGTCCAAAGAGTAAATTAAATTACTGGACTTGCATGTGTTTGACTGTAGTTCAAGTCCTGGACCTGGTGACTTAAAACTCACACCAGGAGCATGTGCATGTGTAAGCCCAAGATCCAGAGATGAAAATGCTGGAAAATGGATTGGTGTATCTTGGTATTACCTGAGGGGCTTTATCTGCACATAATTACATAACAGTGACCATTTTCTTCAACATGACAATCAATTTGTGATCGTATGGCCATCATGCTAGGGGGTAATATCTCCCTGTTTCTCTGTCTCTCTGGTGAGTGCACATGTCCTGTAGCAAAATTTTTAAATAACGAGTATATCAAGCATTTTCTTCAACATGACAATCAATTTGTGATCGTATGGCCATCATGCTAGGGGGTAATATCTCCCTGTTTCTCTGTCTCTCTGGTGAGTGCACATGTCCTGTAGCAAAATTTTTAAATAACGAGTATATCAAGTTACAATAATTACATTGTAATTAAAGAATATATAATTTACTACGGGATTGGAATATATTAAATGTATCATTTTCTCTTAAAATTGCTCAACACTTGATCTTGCAACTATACTTTTATTTTTTTCTAAAGATTTTTGAGTTAGGTTGTGTGTACTTTTTAAAGACAATGAGAGTGAGAACACACCCCAGGGGGTGTGGCCAAGTCACAATTTCTACTCCTTCATCTGATCCTGGGATTTTGGACATGCACACACATATATGTGGCATGACTTTCAAGCAGCTAGATCCAAAATTTGAACTGTGGCTGATCATGGGGAAACCCAACACCTTAACCACTTTGCCACCTGCTGGTCCAACTATATGACACTTTTTGTTTTTTTTTAGAAAGAGAGATATTTGCTATGAAGTATGATCACTCAACACAGAGAGACAGAGACAGAATGTGAGAAAACACCCCACATACACGGGGATTTGTCTCACTACAATTCCTTTGCTTTCATTCTCAACTCAGGATTTTAGGTATGCATATACATGTCTTTGGGGTGAGTTTCAAGGTACAAGATCTATGATGCAAACAGTATGTGAGTCCAGTGCCTTAACCACTATGCCACTTACTGGCCCCACAACATTTTAAGAATGAAGACAACCAATTTTAAGTGCTTCCAGCTACAATAACTTTGTTTTAATCAGTATCTTTTGTTTGTTCTCTTCATATAATTATTGAATTCTGCTGAGCATCTCTAGGCAGTTTCTCAATATTTAGGTCAAATATTTAGCAAGGTTCTAACTTAACTTAAGAAAAAGGTAAAATAAAATGGTCTTCAATGGAAAAAGGATGAAAAACATCACATCAACACTATTTGACACAGGAAAAAAATCTAAAAAGATGGGCAAGGTAAACTAAATGGTAGCAGAAACAAAGATATTAAATTAGAACGGATATAAATAAAAGATGTGTGAACCATGCAGAGAAACAATGTAAATTCTAGCTAGTTATTTTTTAACAACATCATGAAACTGACAAAAGTTTAGATAGACCTTTCTAGAAAAGAGAGAGAAGATACAACCAATAAACCAGGTATGGAAGAATAGGCACTATTTCTAACTATACACAAGTAAAAAGCTTTTTTTGAGAACAAAATTAATATTAAATAACTAATCAAATTTAGCTATTAACCAATACTCACAATGTGAAAAATAGCCATTAATCTAAATATTAGATGTATACAATGATTGTTTCAAAAAATGAATTTAAGAGGTCAGTCATTTTCAGTCAGTTTATACCATAAGAATATAAAAATGGTACGCTTTTGGCTTAAAACCCTAAAATTGTGATAGAGGATTATGACATAGAAACTTAGGCTTTATTTGAAACCACTTCTGTTTTTTAAAGCTTTCCAAGAGCTCATATCAGGCCTTAACAGAATAAAGTAGCACTTGTGGGCAAAGATGCAGCCTAGGAGCCCTGCACTGGAGGCCAAAATGGAGAAGACTTCCACAATCACCATGAATTTCCCCTTGGTGCTGTGATAGACAGGGACAAATGTGACCCAGACACTGCAGAACACCAGCATGCTGAATGTGAGGAACTTGGCTTCATTGAATGTGTCAGGCAGGTTCCTGGCCTGGAAAGCCACTGTGAAACTCCCCAGAGCCAAGAAGCCCAGGTAGCCCAGGACACAGTAGAAGGCAGTGACTGAGCCCTTGTTGCACATGATGATGAGGTTTCTGGGCTCAGAGTGTGAGTCTACATCTGGGAATGCGTTCCCAGCCAAATTCCACAGATAATAATTTAGATAAGGGAGCAAATGGGAATGACAGAATTTGAAGCCCCTGATACCAGCAAGCACCTCATTTTTCTCCCAAGTTTCATAGCCTTAAATGCCAGAATTACGGTAATCGTTTTGGCCAGAATGGTGGAAACAGCCACAGTGAACACAAGGCCAAATGTGATTTGTTGAAGGACACAGGTTGTTGTGTTAGGGTAGCCAATGAAGAGCAAGGAGCAGAGGAAGCATGGCAGGAGGGAGATGAGCAGAATAAAGCTGAGAGCCTGGTTGTTGGCCTTGACAACGGGAGAGTCTTGGTGCTTCACAAAGATTCCCAAAACTACAGCTGTGAGGACAAAGAAACACAAAGCCATACAGGCCATGGTTGTCCCCAAAGCATCTTCAAAAGCCAGGAATGTCACATGCTTGGGGAGACATTGAGTTCTCTCACTATTTGAATACTCTTGAGCTGGGCACTGGATACACTGCTTTGCATCTGGTGGAAAATCAAAGATGGAACAATTCAGCTTCACAAATTGATTGTCATGTTGAAGAAAATGGTCACCGTTATGTAATTATGTGCAGATAAAGTCCCTGTAGTAATACCAAGATACACCAAATTAAGAATTTGTATTGATGACAGTGGGAGAATTCTTTCAGCTGCAAATAACACAAAAGTCATTTGAAACTGGGCCTCAGCATATGGGAATCTTGATGGTCCATCTTGCAGACCTCAATGATGTTATGCAGATGAGGATTCATTCCCTATCTCTTCTCTACTCTCTTCTGAGATTTCATTATAATGAACCTTATGCTTCCATAGCTTCTCATATTCATCACAATAGAAATGAATAGTTTTCTTAGTATTCAGAGAAAGATAATTTTACTTTGTTCTTCTGGAGTATCCTAACTTTTTTCTCTTTCCTAATTTCTAGTGATTTTTTTTCTTGTATCTTATAGGTCACTTTGTGTACAACTTTTCTCATTGTACATTTTAATTTTTCTTTCAATATTATCATAAACACTCCTATGTAAATGTGAAAACAATTTTAATTTAAAACAATAAAATCTTTAATGGAATTATATTGCTCTTATAGAGCTATTTTTTGAGAAATTGGTATTGCAATTATATGATAGAAGGATGGAGCGTTCCTTTTGATGTAATCATTTATATAGATCTTAATGCATGGTTTGTTAATTTTTAAGACTGGCAATATTTTTGCTTTCATGCATAATAAGTTCTCTGTTATATCTACTTATGTCTACTATTATGTAGCAGGAAAGCAGTAAGGGAAATTACATAAATTAATGTTAGGTGGCAGGAAAGCAGTCAGGGAGATTACATGAATTAACAGTCATGTTTGTGGTTCAATTACATATTGAAATAAAAATATCTGCTGTAACTTGTATTTTCTAAAGTATTTATTTATTTATTTATTCATGGTAATACTGAGGCAATAGTATTGGGTTGTCAGAAAAGTCAGTCAGTACATTTTTATTGAAAAAGTCATAACTCTTCCAACAGCCCAATATTTTCTCTAAGAATTAGAATGGGGACCAGCAGGTGGCATGGAAGTTAAGATTCTAGATTCCTACGTGATTTATTGCAGCTTGAGTCTCAGACCTGGTGGCTTGCTTTCTCAGTTTTTATTTCTTTTTCTCTCTTTCTGGACTCTCTCTGGTGAGTGTGCATGACCTGTATAAAATTTTAATAATAATAATGATAAATAAAATGAATGATTCTTAGAAAAAATATTACAGTGATAATCAATCACATATTTTTTTCTTACACAGCCTCTTTCTAACACATGATTCAGCAGATATTCTTGGCTCCTATCTCAGAAACATGTTTGGCACCCAAATATATATGTATGTGTTCTTCTGTGTCCCAAATCCTTTCTTTATTAATTTTTTCCTTTTTATTTTTAAAAATCATTTATTTAATTGTATTTACTATTATTTTTAAAATTTCCTGTAGACCATATACATTCACCAAGAGAGATAGAGACAGAGAGACAGAGGGAAAGTAAGAAAGAAAGCCACCAATCTAGGACTCTAAGCACAATTAGTCATTTGGTAGTCCAGCACTTTGAAAATCATGCCAGCTGCTGGCACCTATTTTTCTTCTTCTTTAATTTGCAAGAGGACACATTCATTCACTAGAGAGAGAAACACACACAGAGAGAAAGAAAACAAGACAGCACCACCTCGATGAAATGGTCATGCCACAATCCCCTCTGCACCATGATTTCCTCTTATTTTGCACAACATACAAACACCTGGTGTATTTTCATTCATCTTGTTTGGGGCTCATGTAACAATTTGGGTCATGTGGGATATGGTTTCCTTAAGCACTATGATATGGGCTTTCTTTCTACCTCTATTTTTATTTCTTGTTTTGTACACTTATTTAGTTTTCCAATTCCTTCAGAAAAAGTAATTTTCATGTTTCTTTTTTGTATATTAAAACCTGAACATAAATATTTACTTTTACTAGTGATAAAAATAAAATGAATTCTACTATCAGAATCTCTGGAATTGCATAGTACTTATGGAAAATTTTAAACCACGTTTACTTTTTTTTTTTCTTTTTGAGAGATTTTTGCTCTAGGATGCATGCTCTTGCCAGAAAGACAGACACAGACAGAGAGATAGAAAGTGAGAAATTGCCCCCCAGGGGCAATCCACAATCCCTTCTCCTCCATTCTACTCTCAGGGCCTTGGGCACACAAGCACACACGCCCCATGTGAGTTTAAGTCACCAGGTCCAAGACTCAAACTGCAGTCGACTACAGGGAGTCCAGCAACACAGCCATTATGCCAACTGCTGGTCCCTCAAACTGTATTTACTTCTGATGTATTGGAAAAACAGAAGCTTAATTTCTTATAACTTTCCATATTTCATACTTGACAATACCGCATTTTATTTTGATAATTACTTGGTAGTATATTTTGTATAATGGCCATTTTTGAGATGTCCAGATGTGAAATGTATTAGAATATTGAGTCTTTAATTTTTAAACTGTATTTCTTTATCTTTCTGCAATATATTTCAAGTGTGGTATTCTGATATTAGTCAGTTCTTTGTACGTAATTCCACAGATGTTTGAGCTTGGTTTTAAAAGTTATAAAATATTTTCTTGTCGATTTATATGTAATTACTTTTGGCTTATCATCTAGGAATAAAAGTCAGATTCAAAGATTAAGGCACCCATAGGTAACTTTGATGATGACACCTCTTTCATTTTATGACTAATGTGGTTCAGTATGAGATCTAAGATTGATAGTGTCTTATCTAACACCAAACTGTAAGGGTGTCCACTGGAAATAGTTTCAGAGTTGACCCTAATAGAATGAGCATGGCCAGAAAACAGCTTACACATAATAGGGTAGAATAGTGTGTATAAAATAAAAATATCAAAAATATAAGCATGCAAATTAAGAATAATGATGGTCTGTGTTTTATTTCTATTTGTGTGTGTGAAAGATTTTTTTGCTATAGGACACATGTACTCGTAAGATAGACAGCAAGACAGAAATTAAGAAATCATCCCCTGGGTGGATGGCCATGCCACAATATCTTCTCTTTTCTCCTCTTAGGATTTTGAACATGCGTGCATATGTGCCTGGCATGACTTTCAAGCCTAAGGATTGGGAATTGAACTGTGATTGGCCACATAGGACAGTGTCTTCACCACCATGTCACATGCTGGCTTATGTTTTATTTCTAATAGTAATAGTTTTATTTTTATTGAGCAATAGTATACTAACAATGTAGTTATATATTTCATACTTGTTTGATTTGAAATATCTGACTCCGGGCATAAAACACAAATAAAGCAGCAAACAGGTCTTCCTTCTTGGGGAATTTTCTGGAATCCGGGAACACAACTGTGGCTACACACAGATTCAGGAGTCTGAGCAGAAAAGAGAATCATTAGTCATTTTCATGTATGTTATGAGATGCTTGATGAGATGCTCTATTTTCTCTTCACCTGAAAGAAAATGTTCACATTTAATAGTTCACCACTGTTAATCCTTTTAATATTACCTGGGATTTTGATCATTTTTTTCAAATTTTAGCTATAGGGTGCATGAGCTTGCCAGAGAGACAGTGAGACAGAGAAAGAGAGAAATCACCCCCTGATTGGATTGCTGCACCCAAATCCCATCTTTATTCTCTTCTCAAGAATTTTGGCATGGATGAACCTGTGTTTGGTGTGACTTTCAAGCCTCCAGGTTCAGGACTCAAATTGCACTCAGTCATGTGGGAGTCCAGAGCCTTTACTATTATAGTACCTGTTGACCCCCCTTAGCGAGACCTATAATTAAGATCTGGTATATACTTCACTTTCTTTTTATGTTTTACTATTTTTTCAAAGAATTATTAATTTATCTTTTTTAAACTTGACCAGAAAGACACAGCAAAAAAGAGAAAGAAAAATGAGAAAGCAAGCTATCATTTCCAGGGCTCGAACCACAATAAGCCATGTTGGAGTCCAGTGCTTTAGCCACTATGCCACCTGCCAGTCCCCTTTAGGTATTCTTTACTTGGTATTTCCAAAGTACCTAATTACTTTATCCCATGCATAACTAAAAATATCCCCTGATTCTGTCGTCTTATGCAATCATTTCATCCAAAACAATTTTAATGCAGGTTTTACATGGTAAAGACTCTGAAAAGATGTGTTTTCGAGAATATTTTCACTATATCCTCATATCTAATTGGGTAGAAAATTTTAGGTTCTGGATTTTTAAATATATAATAATGTGATATGTAGGTATGCAATAAAAATTTAACTTAAAACTCATGGGCCAACAGATACATAATGAAAGTGTGGTTAATCCATTTGTGAGTTCTGAGGCGAGTTGAACACTACTTTTCATATATTAACACAGTACATGTGCAAATCATGATATTTATATAAATCTTCTGCAACATGAAATTACCTGAGATTACAGTCGATGTTTTGAAATGTTTGGTGCAATGAAGAGTGGTATGCAAGGGGCTGGAAGATGCTATAGTGGTTAAGGCACCAGACTGATATGATTCAAGTCCTGAAGCTGGTGGCTTGCTTTCACACTCACGCTCTCTCTCTGCCAGTCTCTGGTCAAGTTGAAGAAGCAGCAGCAGAAGCAGAAGAAGAATAGATCATAAATTAAATAAATAATTCCTAAAAATTAGAATGGTTTGCAAAATGACAAGAGAAAATATGGATGATATCTTCAAAAACGTAAATGGTATATTAATGAATAATCTACTTGTTTTTACAGTATACAAAAATATAAGGACTTTGTTTACAACTAATAAAGTGTTTCAGGACATAGAGAGGGATTGTTTATACACACACACATACACACACACATACACATATGAAAGAGTCATGTGCTCCATAAAAACATAAGATATTTCCATAAATGATAAACAGCATATATGATAGTAGTACCATAAAATAATATGTTAGGCCATATAAACACCATGTGCAGTGTGCAATAACATCTAGGGTTGTGTAAGTGCAGTCTATGATTTTCACACAATGACAAAATTCTAAATAATGCATTTCTCAGGAACCAACAGATGGCATACTGATTACATCACTGGACTTGCACTTGGCTGCTCCCATTTTGGGTCTCAGACCAGGCAGCTTGAGACTCACACCAGGTGCATTTTTATGTGTGTCCAAAATCCTGAGAGCAGAATGGAGAAGAAGGGATTATGACATGGCCATCTCCCCAGGGGATGATTCCTCACTTTCTGTCTCTCTGTCTCTCCGGTGAGTTCATGTACCCTATGGCAAAGAACTCTCTAAAACAAAAAGACAACAGTTATAAATATATTCTCAGAAAATAATTCTCTTATTGAACAATGTTCAAGTCTATATACATATCACCTTATTGATATTATTAATTAGACTACTGCTTGAACAAACATGATAACAAATCAGTTAATAAAAATCAGAAGTTTTTCTGTGGTTTAGAATGTACATAAGAAAAATTGAGTAGTACAAAGTCTGAATGTAAAAGACATTTTAAAAAATATTTTCACTGAGATAAAAGTTTAATTCACTTTCTTTAGGGTTGCTATAGATTGTGTGTGTTTGCCAGAGAGAGACAGGGACAGAGCTATAATTCGGACTGGCCTCACCACAATCACTTCTCCTTCATTTTGCTCTACAGATTTTGGGCATGCACATGCACACACATACCAGGTATGGTTTTCAAGCCACCAGATCCAGAAGTCAACCATGGTTGACCATGTAAGAATCCAGTACCTTTAATATGATGTCACCTGCTGGCCCCATAATACTGAGTTAAAGTAGTCACACAATTTAATTTCAGGACTCTGTTCAAATACCTCTGTATATATTTCAATTTTTTGTTTGTTTCTTTTAGAGATCTTTGTCTTAGGGTGTGTGTACTCATAAAAGAGAGAAAGAGAGAGATTGGGAGGAAAAGTTAAAAAAAATCACTCCCTGGGAGAATCACCATTCTGCAATCCCTTCTTCTTCGTTCTCCTCCTGGGATCTTGGGCACACATGCACACACACCCAGCTTGAATTTCAAGGTCCAGGTTCAAGACTCAAACTAGTCAATGATGTGGGATTCCAGCGACCTAACTACTATGCAACCTTCTGTCCCCACCTCTATATGTATTTCATATTGAAATGACATTGTACCTCTTTGAATTTAACAGGCCAGTTTATCACCTCTTCATTGATGACCAAGCCAAGATTATGGGTGTTCCTGTAAACAAAATCTCCTACTTTAACTAACAGCCAGGTGTTATTAGAAAATCTCACAAGGTTGTGGATATCATACTGTATCGTATTTCTGCTTTCACCAAGGGGCATGTTGTATCCAATGCTATTTGTCAGTTGGCTTTTCTTCAGAAATGGATGGAGCTGTATTAAAGACAGGGTTCAAAAAAATAGGACTGCATTTAATGTAGAGGTGGTTGGTCCATATCTATCAAGAAATCCTATCTTAATATCCCTACCCTTACGTTTACTTCTTTGTAGGAGTTGAATTCGATTTGAGTGGTCATCTGCTCAGAGCTTATGTAATATGGGCTCTTTTTTTTCTTCCTAAAAACAAAAGAGGAGTTTTAGCTCTTCAGATAATTTCTAGGATCATTCCCAGAGGTTGATTAGTACATAGACTCTCATAAAATCCAGACTATTAAAATCTTGTTTGGACTAATTGGTGTCTAACCTTGGTAATTCATAAAGAGCACAGATGGGGCCAACAGTGGCGTGGTTAGGGCGGCTGAATCACACATGGCCAAGTAAGCAACTTGAGTCCTGTACCAGCAGCTTAGAAAACACACCGGGTAGGGCCAAATGTGGCATGGTGGTAAGGTAGTAAATATACTGCCTTTGTAAAAGGCAGTATATTTATGGATTCTTGATAGTGGTTATGGTAGTATCAAAGATATGCCTTTCTCCATGTTTATCCAAATATGTACATTAAAAATGCATAGGTTTTTTTTTTTTTTTTTGAGAAGTCCTTCCTATAGGGTGCGTGCGCTTGCCAGACAGACAGAGAGAAACAGAGAGACAGAAATCAAGAAATCACCCCCCAGGGGGGATGGCCACGCAGCAATTTCTTCTCCTCCATTCTCCTCTCGGGATCTTGGGCACACACGCACATGCGTCCAGCGTGAGTTTAAGCCATGGGGTCCGGGACTCAAATCGTGATTGACTACATGGGAGTCCAGCGACATGGTCATGATGCTAACTGCTGGTCCCAAAAATGTATAGTTTTTTCAATAGTATTTACACTTAACAAGGCTTTTTAAAAGAAATCAAATACATTTTATTCTTTATCTGTATTTTGTATTTCTTTCAGTAAGAGTGTGATTGTCATGTGGCAATACAATGAACAATTTGCAACAAAATACAAATTTAAAACTTATAAATTCTAAAGAAGTGTTTTTGTTTTTGTTTTTCTAGTATTTGTGAGAGAGATAGTGAGAAAACAGGGAAAATGCTCCCCATGGGGAATGATCGACTGCAGTCTCTTCTCCATTTCTCCTTCATTTTTGGATTTGGGGCATACATGCGTACACTCATGTCTGACATGTTCACTAGGCCTTCTGGACTTAAACTCAACTCGTGATATTCAGCTGCCCTACTCATGATAGCATGGATCTAGCCCACAAAAGTGTTTTATGATTTTTTTAAGAATTATTTTTTAATTTGATCTATTATCATTATTTTTAATTTGCTATAGGGCATGTATGCTCATAAAAGAACAGAGAGGAGAGAGAGAGAAAGTGAGAAAGCAAGCTGCCAGGCCCAGGATTAGAGCTATGATTGGCGATGTGAGTGTTTAGTGACTTAATCTACACACCATTTGTTGGTCAAACTCAAGAGATTTTTAATAAACCATGTTAGCCTCCTAACTATTGAATTGATTACATTATTTTGAAGAAAATAATTAG